CTTTTCCTCCTGCAGCTGCCCTGCAGCATTCTTGCTCTAGCTAAGTCCTTGACTTCGTCCTCTCTGTCATCCTGCGTCCACTGATAAACTGTGGTGTCGCTTTGCTTTGCTTTCTTCCCACTGAAAGTCCCTGTTCCACTCTTTTCATCCAGTTGTTTTTGCAACCTAATCCTATGACTTGGAGTTTTACAGGTAGTGTCATTAGATGTTCAGAAATGGGCTGTGCTGTATAATCCTGGCAAAAAGTAGCCTTATACTAAGATTCAGAAGGTCTCTCATTGAACCAGGAACTCACTGACTTGGCTAGGCTGGCTGGACCAATGCACCCCCAACCCCACGCTGTAGCTACGTTTGTGCCCTGAAGCATCTAGCTCTTATGTGGATGCTGAGGATCCAATCTCAGGTCCTCATGCTTGCACAGGTTCTTTATTTACTGAATCATGTCTCCAAGCTCACCTGAGGTTTTCACATTGTAGATCATATACTTGGATCACGTTGCCCTTTTGTCCCTCTTCTTCTCTCAACTGGCCTCTTTCCTCTCCCTAAATAGTCTTTGTTCTACCTTCGAATTTCTTTTCAAATCTAGATTCTGCATATGAGAGATAATGTAATATTTGCCAAAATCTGGCTAGGTTCTATAGTTGTTGTTATTTTAATTTTTCAAGACAGTGTTTCTCTGTGTAGCTCTGGCTGTCTTAAAACTCACTCTGTAGACCAGGCTGGCCTCAAACTCTTATAGATCTGTCTGCCTCTGCCTTCCAAGAGCTGGGACTAAAGGTGTGCAGCGCCTCTGCCGGCCCTATTGTTTTTCCTGTGGAAGGGTGTTGCCCTAGCTCCCTGGTCACAGGTCTGCCTTGGGCAATGTTCAGTGGCTGCAGTTACATGCAGAGAGGCTTACAGGCCTGGGAGAAGGGAGGGGCTTCTTTGGCCTGTGGAGAAAGCCCCTTCACCCTCACACCCTGTTGCTTTTCCAGGTCACTGAGGTCACTGGAGATGTAGCTAGTAGATATGGAGGTGGGGACATCTAAGTAGGTACCTCAGGGAAGCCTTTTTTAGCAAGATGACTCTGACTGTGTACTTGGGCACATTGCCATCTCGGTAAGAACTATATTTTCCAGGCTTCCTGCAGGCAAGTGTGGTCATGAGACCAAGTTCTGGCCAGAGTTAGGTGAGCCCAAGGCTTCCAGGAAGTCTTCTTAACAGGAAGAAAACTTGATTTTTTGTTTGTTTGTTTGTTTGTTTTGTTTTGAGACAAGGGTTTCCTTGTGTAGTCCTGGCTGTTCTGGAACTCAACTTTGTAGACCAGGCTGGCCTAGAACTCAGATATCTGACTGCCTTTTTCCCAAGTACTGGGATTAAAGGCATGATTTTGTTTGTTTGTTTGTTTGTTTTATTCTTCTTTCTCTCATGTGCTGCTGGAGTTCTAGGGCTCATTCTGGATCCTGAGGCCAAGAACTGTCCAGGGGACAGCAAAGCTAAGAGCCATCAGAAGCAGGGCCCTTCCTACTGTGTGCAGACACCTTAGACCACTACTTTACAAAGGCAAGAATGGCATTCCTAACTAAACACTTCTTATTAGAAAGGAACCATGCTACAACAGAATCTGGAATGTGACGTCTACTTAGTAAATGAGAACAAGGGTCATGTTTAAGTATTACAGGCTAAGATTTAAAACATTGCCTAATGTTGATGTTGTATTGTTTTTGCTTTTCCAGACAGGGTTTCTCTGTGTAACAGTTCTGTTTGTCCTGGAACTTGCTCTTGTAGACCAGGCTGGCCTTGAATGCACAGAGGTCCACCTGCCTCTGCCTCCCAAGTACTGGGATTAAAGGCCTGTGCCACCACCGCCCAGCATACCGCATAGTTTTTTACATGCCTCTTATTTGGAGGGGAGTTCTTTGTCCCCTTGAACCTGATCTGGCTTGTGACAACTTTCCCCAATAGATTTCTGTGGAAGCACAGCTCTGTGCCTTCTAGCCTTAGTCATACAGGTCAGCTGCCGCCACCATCTAAATCTCCTCCAGGAGCCTGGCCATTCTGGGAAGACAATGGGCGGGTGCTCTGACTGACAGCCCAGTGAAAGACCCAGATCAACAACAACAACAACAAATCACTTATCTACGTATTTATTTATTTCCTTCCTTCCTTACATTATTGTGCGTGTGCGTGATGTATGCATGGAGGCACACGACTGCCCTAGCATGGGTGTGTTCAGAGGATAACCTGGTAAAGTCAGCTCTCTCTTTCCAACTTTATGTGGGTTCTGGGGATTGAATCCAGGTGGTCAGGCTTGTGCCAAGCCCTTTATCCACAGAGCTATTTCACAGGCCCGAGGAGCCATCCTGAAGTAGATTCTTCTGTCTTCTTTTCAGACGTAAGCCATTGTTTTCTCCAGAGCTGTACAAGTCACTAGTGCTAAGGTCTCACACATGAGTGGGAAAATGTTGTCCTTGATCTGCCTTCTTGATCCTCGATCCAACAGACTTTGACAGTAATCACTCAGTGCTTCTTTTACATCCTTATACTCAGGGCCATAGATAGCTGGAAAAGGCTGGGTGTGGTGGCTCATGCCTGTGATCTCAGTCCTTGGGAGCCTTGGGTTTAAGGACAGCCTGGGCTACGTTGTAAGTTCCAGACTAGGCTACAGGCTACTGAGTTAGAAACAGTCTGAAAAGACAGATCAGCTGGAACATCTGGTAATTCTTGCTCTTTTGGTAAAAGTTTGGTTCCCTTACAAAGATAAATTCATATGCAGACAGCCTAGGCCTGATACGGTAATTTCATAGTCCCAAAGTCCCAAGACTTTTATCTTCCCTATTTTTAAAGTTCAGTAAAACAAAAACAGAAGCAAAACTAACTCATACAAGCCTGGCCCTACCCCCTTTATCTTCCCTTCTGCCCAGAATACAGGCATGACAGGTGGCATACAGGTGGTAATGATAGGCCAAAAGGCAATCTTGAGGATAGCCAATAAAGCTGAAAGAGGCCTAGATCTCTGAGAGAAAAAAAAAAAAAGAACTTCAGTTTTGCTTGAGCGACTTAATTGTAGGATCTTTACAGTAAAAACCAGCAGATACAGACTTGCAATGCTTAGAACAAGGGCAAGTTGCCTTAGCCGGCACTAGCACGCCGAGGTGTTGAAATAAGAGGCAGCCTTTAAGTCCTGGCATAGCCGAGATGGCTAAGAGTATGGAGTCAGGGAGGGTCAGAGATACAGGACCTCATAGGATGCCAGCAAGGCAGGAGAGTAAGGGGGGGGGATGGCCAGGGAGGAGTTCTGCTTTCCCAAGCAGAAACCAAGAGTGAAGCTACCCATGGCCTCTTTGCTCCTGTTCTTTGCACTCAAACCGCTGTGTACAGAGACTGGGAGGACCAGTTTCCACGAAGACCTCCCACAGGGTAGGCATGAGGGGGTTCTTGACGGTTAGTCACCGGTTGGACCCTTCTTGTGTCTCACTCCCCAAAATAGTAATGCATCCCAATGAATTGCAAGTTGAACGTGTTGGCAAGGAAGTGGTTAGCGAGGAGTTCCGGGAGCAGAGGTAAGGGCATTCAGCAACCGTGTCTGGGTAAAATCTTTCCATACTTTCCCCTCAACTGAGGTAGGATAGAAAGAGAGGGAAAATTTTGGAGACATGAGAAATGAGAGAGAGCCCCTACCCAAGCATCAAGTTGAAGCCTCTAATCAGCAACAGAACAAGAATCTCAACACAGTTAACAAGCTTTAAGGCCTTTCTCCCTCTCCAGCCGCAAACCTGCAATTTTTTAGGAATCTCACCAGAAATCCCATTTACAAAGAAAAGATACATACTCAACCCTTTGTTCAACCCTATCGGCTTCTGGGGTTTTTGTTTCCCTCTTTAAAAAAGAAAGAAAGAAAGAAAGAAAGAAAGAAAGAAAGAAAGAAAGAAAGAAAGATGTCAGTGTGCATACAAGTGAGTGTGCGTTTGTGAGTTTGTGTGTGTGTGTGCATGTGCGTGCCACAGTGCAAACAGCCACACTTTCATGTGGAGGTTCTGGGGATTGAACTCAGGTGGCCAGGTTTGGATGAGTTAGTTTTGTTTCTGTTTTTGTTTTTCCTAACTTTGCCTGTTGAGTCAGCCATCTTGCTGGCCCTGGTTTCTGGTTTTACCCTTATCAGATTACAATTTTCTCCAAGGCATCCCTGGAGCTCCCTGCTGTCTTGTCTCTCTAATCAGAAGAGGATGGGAAAGAGAAGGAAAAAGGGGTTTCTCAGCAGCCTTTTGAGATGGAACCTGAGAGCCAAGTAAAATGTATATACGGCCCTCACTCGCCCTTGATGAACCCATGCTCACTCACACTTGGGCACAGCTGACTTCTCTCTGCTTCCCCTTAGGAAGACCATGATCCCACTTGGGTGTGTCTTTTTTTCTTCTTCTGGGCTCTTCTCTCTCTCTTATTTAAGCCTATATTAAAGGCTCCTCAATAAAAACGCCAACTGTGCTTCACAGTCCTGGGTCACATCCTGAAATTCTTTCTGTGTTGAAGCTAGGAACCCCAGTTTGGCCTTCACCAATGTTCCGAAAGCTTCAGGGGACTCTGCAGAATGCTGAGAGTGGCAGTGTGGGGGTCTCACTACTGACACACCCGAAATCTGAGTTCCTGGGAAGCAAATGGTTTCCAGCCTGCTGTGCACGAAGCATGTGCTCACTGCCGAGGCAGCCTGTCTTTCAGCTTCCCTCAGTTCTTCCTGCAAACACACGGGCTGGAAGAGCCTGGCCTGCCCCAGGCTGATGACACTTGCTGATGACAACTTCATAGAGACAAGGAGTCCTCACCACAAGGAGTGGCCACTCCTGTAGGAGGCAACAGGTCTCCCAGAACAGGCTTGTGTGGACCAGGTCTCCTCTAACCCCTAGTAGCTGCTACAGAGAAGAAAGACCAGAGGAGTGAATTGTGGAGTTGAAGGCAGAGGCGAGGGTTAGGGTCAAGGATGGGGGTCAGGAGATAATGAAAACAGATGAATCAACATTCACCCCATGACCACTTTATTCTGTGTTCAAACAGTACAGTGATCTTATAAACCCCACATACTACAGAGAGTCCAAGGCATGGCTGCCTTCACCTTGCAAAATGCAGGTCCTATTCTTGCTCGCTCTGATAATTCAGAGCCTGCTCCCTGTGTGGAGGAAAGAAAAGAAATAACAGCCAGCTACTCTAGAGGAGGCTTAGAGAAGGGTGACAGACATCCACCTCACATCAGCATCCCTTGGGTAGGAACCGGCTTCGCAGGCCCAGAAGCCCAGCTTATCAATGGCAAAATGGAGTCTGTGGACTCGGGCTCCCCAAGGTGAATGGGGAGTGTGGTAAATCCATTCTTCCCACCGAGGAGTCACCTCGGGATTCCATTCTATCCTTTAGTGAAGCCTGGAATCTGGGTGTCTCTGTGTTCAGGGCTTCCCCGAAGATTCTCTTCCAAACATATCTTTCTCAGAGTCGTAATTCGCCGTTCTGAGGCCATCCTTCCTGGTTCTAACCTTGTTCTCCGAGTCACTGTACAAGAACTTAGATAAACTGGCTGTGGTGTTTCTGTGATAAATAAGACGAATCATACTTAGAAATAAATAACCCCATCCGAAAGCCAGAGAAATGTCCGAGAGTCTGGCACTGGACAGCTTCAAGTAGCCGGTGCCCACAGTCTGCCCAGGCCTCCGTGGATGGCATCCTGGATCCTCATTTTGTGAGTTTCTGCTACATTGTAGGCAGTGCCTGCTTTCACTGGACCTGGGTGCTTAGACCTGGTCCCCGCCAGGCTCCCATGCACACCAGCGCATGGCTCTGGTAGCTGAAGCGGCACCAGTGACACGGGTTAGTCACTTGTTTGGCTTTGCTGTAGCAGAGACCAGGCTCTCTACTAACTTTCTCTTCATTGTAGGAAAAAAAATAAAAATAAATCACAAAATACTATTGATAACAACAATTCCGAGGACACAATTACCTTACATTTACAAAGCATTTTTCCAGAGAAACTTAGAGCAGTTCTTGGTCTCCTGGGCATTTCTCTAGGCTGGTCATGGGAGAAGGAAGAGGAGTGGAGGGGAGGCTTAGGGGATTTCTGCCTCTGTCCCTAAGGACAAGGTCTCTTGGGAACTACCCGCTCTCTGCAGCCATACATTCACATTCTACACTTGGATCTATGTGGAAGCCCGTGACCGCAGTACCTTGCCTGCTGGAAAGTGGAGAGAAACTCCCAACAGACTCCTCCTTGCTTCCTTCCTCTCTCTCCTTTGTTCACTTGTAATGTTTTGCTAGAAACCCCATGCCCAGCTGCCTGCTCCCCTGGCCAGAGGGCTGTGCATGAGGTCAGCTTTGACGGGTGATGCTTCTGACAACAGAAGCAGACACAAGACAGATAGGGCTCCCCCAGGCCTAGGAGGGGCACTGGCTCCTCATGCGTTTCTTCTCCACTGCCAGTCTGATGGCCTGAAGGAGCTTGTCTTTGTTATTGAGGATGTTATACTCCGAGAGTTTTGCCAGCTTGTCGAAGGCGGCCTCTGTATACGTCAGCTCCTTGGTGGCATAGGGAGATTTTTCACCATAGATATTCAGCTGGCCCAGTTCCAACTCCTCAGGACTTCGCTCCACACCTTGGAACAAGAGAATTCGCTATAGACCCTTATTATGGTAGGCTGTGAGGACTTGTTTGCACACACAGACACACTTGGATGCATACACATTCATAGGGGCACCCCCCGCCCCAAGCTCCTTGGGGCAGAGGCACAGCTTACACATTTCAGGTTCCCACATAGCTGGGTATCAATAAATGGCCAAATGAGTAATAAGAGCAGAGACCATGTTACCAGTTCATGAGAAAGCATGGAAGGAGCTCTCTGGGCTCAGTTTAGAGCTAAGCCAGGCCTCCCCTCTGGGGGTCATCAGAAGATTCTGTAAGTCTAAAACCAGGAGCTTTCCTCTGTGTCCAGTGGGGACCGGGAACACAACATAGAGAGAACTTACCTGGGGCCTTGTACTTCTGGAAGGTGTCGTTGATGAGTGGGAAGTAAGCCACAATGGGGGCATCGGGCTCCTGGGGGTTCTCCATCAGGTAACACTCCTTGAGACTTTTGTCGTCATCCTGGATGGAGTAGCTGGGGAAGGGGATGTTCTGGGCGGTGCAATACTCACAGGTTTGTTTCAGCGGCTGTAACAGCAGGGGAGGACGCTGTTAACCCCGGGAAGCCTCGAGGTGGGCAAGCCACGCAGAGTTCCTGAGCCCGCTTTCCTGGTTCTCCTAGCTACCGCTGGTCCCAACCTGCTTTGCCAATGTGTAGTATTTGTAGGGGAAAAAAAAAAAAAAAAAAAAAAAAAGCCAGGCCAGGACTAAAGGCCCAGGCAGCAGGCTGGTGCCTAGCCAGCTGAAAGCCCCTTTCCTGAATGAAAACACAGAACACAGAACTGGGGACACAGGGGTGGTGTTCTCTGAGGTCAACACACACTGGGACCTGGTCGCCCGGAGTCGTGACGGGCAGTGTCCAACGGATGAACTTTGAAAAAGTGCCTTTAAAGTCCCAAAGAGCCTCAAGTCCAGTACTAGCTTACCTGCGAGTGTCTCCAGCTAGCCACTTGCTTTCCCCCTCTGTGGCCGAGGGTAGCAGCCATGCCCCCTACCACAAAGACCCTGGGGACCCTGGGAATCACACCGTTGCTTGCTTACAAACACAGAGGACAACCACTGCTCTCCTTCTAGTCATCTGTCTGTAAATCCTCTCTTCTCCTGGCTTCAGGATGGGATTGTATCAAAGTCAACCCCGCCCCCCCCCAAAAAAAAATCCAAGCCAACCAACCAACCAAAAATCAAAAATCAGGATTTTCCCCTAAATAGAAAGGTAATAATAACAGTAATCACAATCATAATACCACCATCACCACCACAACCATCGGCTACCTGTGTGATCATATGATTACACAGGTCGCTGGGATTGTTTTAAAAGTAAGACATTACAAACTCATCAGGATTTTTTTTTTTTTCAGCCAGGCTGAAAAATGGCTAAGCGCATCACATGCTTAAAAGCAATCATAAAATTTCTATTCACTGAATTCATGCAAACCCCAAGTCCTAGCATGGGAGAGCCAGCCGGTTGCCAGTGGGGTTTGGTCCTCTGGCCCCACACCGTGTAAGCTCCTCTCATGTAGTCTCAGAGTGTGTTAGCAGAGCATGCTCTCCCATGTTACAGCTATGCAGGCCTCTGAGGTCGTGGCACTGACCGTGACAGCCCAGGAGCGGCTGGGGGCTGGGCTGGGGCTGGGCTGGGCTGGGGCCGTGTCTGCTATACTTGCCTTTGTCTGGGATCCTGCACAGTAATTGAGGTGGATGATGAGGTCGATATTTCTCTCTGGCCTGAGGAGGGGTGCATAGCTGGAGTTGACAAAGAATGCGGTGTCCAGAAGGTTCAGGTGTTTTGTAGACTGTGTCAGCTGGTTTGGGAAGGTGTCCAGTACTGTGTCTGAAAATCAAGTCCGCTAGTTACCACCCTACCTGGTGCTCTAACGTCAGCTATGGGTGGGGTGGTAGCAATGGTATGGACAGAGTGCCCTGCCTGAAGCTTTCTTTCTTCAGCCTGGGCCTCTAGCCTCCCACATTCTCTCTAAGACACTGAGTCCTTCTTCTCTGGACTAGTGTATAGGAGCATGCTCTTGAGGCTTTAGCAAGTCTTACATGGGTTATGCACACAAGCCCACTGTGACCCATCCATATAGCTCGGGGAGAAGGGGTTTATAAGGCCATCTTATGAACTAGGGGTATCCATGAACATAGAGCCATCAGCCTATTTTGCTCCAAAAGATAACAAGGACAAGAATAATAGTCCAGGCTAAAGGACTTTGCAGGCTATGGCCAAATAAAATATCAAAGAAGATTTCCATGTGCTGGAATAGGAAGAATGCTAGATCTCATCCCTAAAGCCTTAGCAAGGAGAGGCATGCAGAATCAAAGCTATGAAAGTGTGGCTTAAGGCCTCAGGCTGTGAGACTGAGCGGGGCCACACTTGCTCAGCCACAATGGGGGCACAACTCACAGTGAAAGGCGCTTCCAAAAGACATTGCCAAAAGAGCCCGTATCTCTCTGTTTATACAATGGGGCCAACTTCTGCAGCTGGGACTGTTTCGAAGATTCTGCAGGGAACCCCTGCATTGTCCCCTACTGGCAAAGCCATATTCATTCAGGCCCTCGGCCATACGCGGGCTACCCACCCCTCGCCCAAACCATTAACGTGAGCAGAGGAGACTATCTTTTTCTCTGGCGACTTCAACATCTGCTTCTCCTTCCTCCCAGCAGAGCCAGCCCTGGAGGAGCGTCCAGGTTGGGGTACCTCTCCACTTAGAGAACTGTTTGTTCTGAAGGTAGTCGGTGTGCAGCTGCATCCCGTACAGGAAGTTGTGGAACTCGGACACGAGGGGCCTGTGCGTGAGCATTTCTCGGAAGGTGTTGGACAACCACGACGCTGGGATCACTACTGTGGTTTCCAAGGGGTTGTTATCACACCTAGGGATTTCAGGCAGGAGTGGGTCATCCTCTGTAGGGGAAAGGGGACGGCAGACAGGTTACAACAGCTTGGGTAGCACCTGCCTGCTTAGCCCCTGAGAGTGAGCCATTTCAAAATGCAGTCCACGCCTTCTTTGCTCAACTCTAAGCCTAAGAGGTATGAGACAAGGATGGGGGGTATGTCGAGGGAGAAAGAGAATACCCAATAAGGAAGGCCCCAGAGAGGACAGTGAGCCCAGAAGTTTGGTTTTTCCCCTGTGCTCACAGATCCCTAGGCTCATCAGCTCTCTGAATATTCCAGGTTATCTTTCTGGGCCTCAGCGCAAGTACCATCTATAAGCCCCCTCCCCCCACCCCTGCCACCAGTGAGGAAAAATACTCCATCCCAAGTGCCTTCCCGGGTCTGGATCACAGGGAGGATGTAGAAATGGGTCCTTAGTTCATGATCCATACCCAATATTTCCATCACTAAAGAGGAGAGGCCAGGGCGACACCCACCAATATCATGCAGTCTTTCCCTTGTCCACCTGTAGAAAAACTCCTCTGAAGTGTGGGACAAATTCCAGGCGTCAAGCAGGTTCAGCGAAAAGATGCTACTCCACAAGCCTAGAGGAGCGGAGAAGCCATGAGCAACTCTCCCCAAGCTCCCTGCCCTCCCATCCCTAACCTCCCTGGTCTGGCCTCAGCCTTGATGCCTACTCTGGGCCAGGCTGCTTGGGGGTGGGGAAGACTTGGCTTTCTATCTCCTACAGAGCAGTTCTATGCAGTGTCTGATGATGCTAGTCCTTGGCTCTTTCCCTCCCTTTCTTCGGTGCAGAGAGCAGGAGGGTACTCAAGGCACAGCTACAGCAGGGGGATGATGGTTTACAGGTGCAGGCTTTAAATTCAAGCTCAGTTCAGCTCTTGCTTCAGTTGACACTTAAGACAGTGTCCGGCATGCAGTAAGCCTTGATACACATAAGACTAGCTTTTACTTGTTCATGTAAAATTTACATAATAATACTATATAATAATAATAATAATAATAATAATAATAATAATATCCAGATATGGTGGCTCATACCTGTAATCCCAGCTAGGGAGGCTGAGGCAAGAGGGTTGACATGAATCTGAGGCCACCTTAGGCTGTATAGCAAGCTCCAGGCTTGTCTGGGCTACAGGGTGAGACCCTATCGCAACTTCATACAGCTAGCAAGTGAAGAAACAGAGTTCAAACTGAACTGTAGGTTTCAGAACCACATGGGTGGTAGGGTCGGGGGAGCAGGAAGAACTGTGGGCTGAGAGTTTCTGTGCGGAGTTCATAGAAGAGATGCGGCTTAAGTCAGACTTCCTGCAATGGGTTGTTCTGGAGTACGTGAAATATGGACGCTGTGTTTAAATAAAAGAAATTCAAATAGTTGTTTTTGAAGCTGTAACGACAGGCTTATTTTCTGAGGTCATTTTTTTTTTTTTTTGGCAAAAGAGACTCTGAAGTGAAGAACTAAGACTGGCTGTTACAGTCAGTGGGCTCCTGTACTCAGTGACCTGGGAGCAAAGAACAGGGAGCTGAGCTAAGCTTTCCCAGTGGCCCTGTTCTTCCTGCTAGGACCACCTCTGCTTGGGAGCCGAGTCTTCCTCAGAAACCAGCACACTGCTGCCTGAAGTCAAACAGGAAGACGTGAGGGTCATGATAATTTTCTATCTCAGTCTTTCATACCCAGGCTGCTTCTGAGCAGACTACAAACAGACACTGGAGACTAGGGTGCTGGGAGAGTCCTGCAGGGTCCCTTTCCTGATGTCTCCCCGGGCCTAACGGGCTTCAGGAAGATTAGGGAAGTCAGTATGGAAGTACTGGTTTAACGTGCTGTGGCAGATCCAAGAAGTTCAACGGTTCAAGGCTAACTAAGGCAACTGGCACCGGGACAAGATTCTCCCTGTCCTTCTGCTAGTCACAGGCAGGCCTAGCCAGCACTGAGGCGGGGCATCCTTGAGAGTCACCTAGCAGGTAGCACATCTCAAGCTCAGGGATCCTCTTCATCAGCCGCCCCATGAAGAACTCGGAGCCAAACAGCTCGGTGGGGATGAATGCTCCGTACTTCTGAAAGCCCACCTCGTAGGGGGAGAACTCGAACCACTCTGTACACAGAGAGCAGTATCAGCCTCGAGTTGAAAACCAGCCAGCCAGCCCTCCCTCCAGCCCACCAGCGCTGGCTCAGGGCCATGGGGAGCTTGGAACTGTAAGCTGCAGTTCCCCTGTGGGACGCAAGGGGGCATTTGCTGCTGGACAAACTGCTAAGCTCAAACTTTAGCTTCTCAAAGCTGAATATACAGGGGCGAAAAACTGACCCTTCTAGGCTTCCCTTTTGGGCAGCCTTAAAAAAAAAAATCTTAAGAGTCTCATCCTTCATGGTCTTCATTTCCCACTGAAAGCTAAGGGACCTGATCATGTCCATTCATGAGGGAAATTTCTCCAGCTGTGGGGGACTGCTTCCTGATGTGGAGATTGGTAAAGTGTGTGTCGAACCCGCCAAGAAGGGGCCCCCTCCTAAGCCACTAGCCACCAGTGTTACCTCTGAAATCCTGGTTGCTTACATCATCCTTGACATTGATGGTGAGGTAGATGGGCAGAGGGTTCTGTCCCTGGCACAAAGCAGCACGCTGCTCTGACAGTTTACATTCATATTTCTGTAGGGACACCAGGGATTAGGAGAGGTGGCTGGCAAGCAGTCAGTGAAGAACAAGAGAACAATCTGAACCCTTAGCAGCCATTTCCAGGCTCTGTATCAACACACACACACACACACACACACACACACACACACACACACACACA